ATCAGGTAATAAGAAACGAGTGGTACGTCTATTTGTACTCTGACGAATTCAAATAGACAACGGAACGAAGCTTCCACTTCAACTAGGCTAGATTTAAAACAAGAACAAAAATAACAAGACTCTGAATCGGAAGTTTCTCGAAGAACAGGCTCACGATATCGACTGTCGTAGAGATTCTCACGTGATAATAGCATTATTAAACGTCGCCGGGGGTTGATTCGATAAATCGGGTAGCAGTCGTACGAGTGTACGTCGGCCATTAACTTGCTCCGAAGACACGGGGATAGGAACAGAGGAACGCGTCGGCAGACGATTTAGAGGCATCGTCAGCGAGACGGAAGGAGAGCTTCAAAGTCTCGTTGTTGTTGCAATATCTGGTCCCGAGGAACGATTGATGTCCCATTATGCTCGTCGAATCGATGAAATCCCCAAGGTATTATTCGTTAATGGATGCCTCTGACAAACGTTGGGAAACGTTATTGGATAGTCGCGCATTACACTGTCTTTGCAAAATATGATTCTCTTGTCGATGGGATGAAAAAAGAGCGGAGCCTCCCTCTTCATACAGTGCGTTCGAAGATAATTAAGAGAAAAAGGAAAAAAAAAAAAAAAACGGCAGGAAAGGCTCGCGGAAATATATATTCGAACGCCAGTGAAAATATTTTGCCAATTTATTTTAGGTGTGTCGTGTGAAATATCTCGAAATTTATAGTTAGTTCTCTGCAGATGCGTGAAACGAAGCGTAAAAACATACGAGAAACATACAAATACAAATTTACAAAAGGATCAATGAAATGAATTTCCAATTTCTTCTCTTATTGTTAAAAACTGGACGAACATTTTCAGTTTAATTATGATTTAAAGGATATTAAAATACTTGTACCTTGAATTAAAATGCAAAATAGGAAATTAAATGTTAATGGAAGAAATCGAAACGCGCGTATATTGATACAAGATATTTACTATCAAGTGATAAGTTTTGAATATTTTACATAATCCTGCACACTACATTTTCTGCGTTTGCAAATTTTCTGCAAGTGCATAAATGTTTGGAACATGGCAAAATTTAATTCTAGCAAAATTTCAAAATAATCCACAGAGCACATACGCGTGCTGCATAAAAAAAAAAAGAAGAGAAAATGATAAGGAAAGAAAAAGAGGAGGAAGAGGAAGAAGAAGAAGAAGAGGATGGCTTACGTATATTTCCATGCGAGTTCACAATTGTCCAAGACGATCCAGACCAACTAAAGAGGCAAAAGGTGTCTATTATCGGCGAGACTCTCTCGTTAGGAGGAATTTGTTCGACGAGGAGAGGAAAAGAACGTTGGACAAAGGAACGAAGGAAAAGCGAGCGAGCGAGAGAGAGGAGAGAAGGTATCCGCGCGCTAGGAAAACGCGCGCGCTTTGATTCGCGTGCACCACGAGTTTTGCTTATTTATTCCGGCCCAGCAATTCGAGACTGAAGACTCTTAGAGCAATTTCCTTCTTTATGCGGGTCACTCGTTGTGTTCCTGAGATATTTGCCGATGCTTCCTTCCGTTTCGACCCCCTCAGCCTTCACTCCAGCTGCTCCCGTCTCGTGCTCCTTGCATTCTAGCCGCCCCGTGAAAACGACGTCTTTACAAATTCGCCGCGCATTCTTCGGATTTTAATTATCATCGTTAAGCGTTGCTGGATTTCGTGAGTTCTCTCTCTCTCTCTTTCCTCGGAAGTTGCCGTTGTTCCGTGGTATTCTCGTTTGGATTTCGGAATTCGATGTGATTCAGGTTACGTTGCTCGTCTAAGTGATTCCCGCTCGATTCAAATAAATTTCCTTGGATTTCGTACGTTTCAGGCAAGTAAAAATACGTGTAGTACAGTGGATATATAGTATAGTTTCTTTTCTTAATTCTTTCCATTATTGATCTCACATTGGTAAATTAAAAAGTGAAATTTCTAGCTTTTATTATATCGTCGCTGGTCGACTGAGACTATCGTCTTAATTTCATCTGAAAATTACTACTAACGACGTGAGATTCTTTCGTTTGAATATTATTTGTTACTGAAGTAACTCGACTTATTCAATGATCACTTGCAAAACAGATTCTCTAGTGCAAATATCGTGAATGACTCTATAATGACATAATATAACGAGTAAATTTGCCACATTGTATTAACATTGTAAACTAGACAGTGTTATTTACTTCATTTATCAGAGGGGGGGGGGGGGGGGGACGATTCGTAAGCTGGTAAGGAGAGCGAGAATTCTATGAATGCAAATCGCATTTTTCCCTTGAGAATACAAATTGTGAAAGGGAGGAAAAAGGATCAGCCGGCCGGTTTACTGGATTAAAGTTTGATCCGAAGACAATTCGTTCTCCAGATGGTTATCTCGATCTACTGCGTTACCCAGATCAAGCTTTTTCCTTTCTTTTTTTTTTTTTTTCGTTTGCCTCCTCCTTGCCTAATACCTCCTCCTCGCGTTAATACCGATCTCTGGTTATCACTGGGTTGTCGATTTTCACGCGAATTTAAATGTTCTTAAATGTTCTGAAATGTAATTTAATCCTTTGAACTCGTATGTCACGCTGGACAATACAAACTTGCTGTATGAAAAATTACACAGATTGTTTTAAAAGTTATCACACTTTAAAATATTATTAAAAAAATAGATTACGTTGTTTTAAAAGCTATCACACTCTAAAATATTATTAAAAAATAAATTATACAATAATAAATAAAAAAAATACCGAATTTATCTAATTTACTTTAAAAATAAATACAAGTAGACGTGCAACAGCGTTGAAAACAAATTCGAGTTCAAAGGGAACTTGAATTTAATTAAAAAAGATAGAACTTTCGAACGTTTGAACAACGTCTGGTGCTTGTATTGACTGTTGAAAAATAAGTAACCGAAAGAATCTTTATCAGTCGAGTTTTTTTTTTTTCAAAGTTCTATGGCCCAATGTCTAAGGATGGAAGACTTTAAGAAAACAAGTGAAAATTCCAGTTTCCAAAGTCTGAATACCCCGTATTAATTAGCTTTATGAATTTACTACTATCATTACGAGGCGTACCGCGAACTTCAAAGCATTAACCTTACTCGCTATTATGCTGCTTTATTATACTGGCCGAGAGAATCTTGGTAATATCTTCGAAAATTCTTAACAGTTTACCACGTTAAATGGAAAATGAAGCTGCTTGTAAATTCCATTATCGATAGAGAGAACAATCACAGTTTTAATTTGTTCGCGGCTATACAGACATAACGCACAACATAGTGTACGTGATCGTGAACTAAACTATTAGGAAAAAAAAGAGAGATTCAGTTCGCTGATATTATTAATTATCAAATTGTTATTCAAGAGAATCCAGACTATCATTCATTCTTTATCTTTACTTATTTCATTTGTTAAAAAAACAACTACTCCCTGTGAGCAACGCCCTAGAATTTCAAATCTCTCGGATAAAAAGCTAAACATTCTCCAAATCCTTCGTACCAAAAACAAAAATAAAAAAAATAAAAATAAAAATAAAAATGATCAAACATCCTCCGATTCAGATCCCAACGCCTCCGCTCCCCGATATAATATGATATAACTCCCAACCGAAGATCCGAGCAAACAGAATCACCTTGGAGAATGGTCAAACAGATCGGTGATAATCCCGTGGATTAAACAGGATGGATACACCATACCTTTACTCGTCGTACGGTGTAAACAGCTCGGGGAACAGGCGGCCGCACGCGATGCACGCATCGTTAAGCAGTAGACGCGTACGCAGGGGTTTGGCAGCCGCGTCGACGTACAGTGTGGCTGCTTTGTGCAGGTAATACAGGTGTCAGCCGAACCGAACACACGCGGCGCGTCTCGTCCTCGCGGTATATCCATCGATTAATTGACGATGGAACCATCAGCTCTCTCTCTCTCTCTCTCGTTTTGTGAGAGAGCTTTGCTCGATTCGCTCGCGGAAATCACAACGACGACAACGACGACGACGAGCGTAAATCAGTTCGAGTGGGTTTGACTCCCTCCCCTTGAGTCGCTTTGCCTTCTCCTTCTGCTCTTCCGCGCCCTTGTCGTCGATAGTTATCGTTCTCCGGAACCGTCCTGTATCCTGTTATGTCAGTTAATGAGATTTCTGGATGAAACGTGGCATCATCTACCGTTTCGGCCGGATAATTGTCATCCCTGAACCGGATCTCGGGATCACGTTCGGAAAGATGGATTTCAGCAAGCGTTCCTGGGACGAGTGACGAGTGATTTTTGTCTTTGGTCGGGTGGAATTTTTTTTTTTTTTTTTTTTGAAGAGTTCAAGGATGATTCTTTTTTTCTATCGATTACTGCGTTTTTTGATCTGAAGTATTTCGAAAGAATTACACTCACATCGAGGGGACTTTGAGGACGACGATTCTTCAAAATAGATGTCATTTTTCACACATTTTCTTGGCTCTAGAAGCGCGAAAGATCGTAATTTAATCATTCGCGCTGACAACTATAACCGTTAACTGCGGTCGATAGGTAACCTCTTCGTGGAGGGAATTTATTAAAATTATAAGTAAATAAATAATTAATCCATTGTTTCCAAGTTGATATCCTTCAGAAACATGTGGACTTCGCCATTATTTTTCAGATTGTGGCATTGTCAGTCTGACGAAATATTCCACGTTTGAAAAGTTCTTTGATTCGTTTCAACTATCTGAATCTATTTGTTACGCGAACATATCTTACCAACGTACGAAATTCTAATCGCAAAACGAAATTCTCATTAACCGCCTGCGCTAGCAACTGCGGACCATAACGAGTGACCAAGTCGTACACGATTCTTTTCGAGCCCGTTGGCACGCTATCACTGGACAGAAATGATTAACAAGTAACAAATTTACCATTTGCTTTGCCTGGATTATATTTAAATACACATGAAACTGAAGGAATGTTGCAATTTTGGAACAAAAAGAAATTCTCGTCAATATCAAGGATTGAAAACACTAGAAACGAAAGATTCCTCTTCTGTGGTTGCAGGTCGAGCAGGCACGGACTACCCAGTGCTGGGCAAAGTCCCTTATACGAACTTCTACTGCGACGACCAGCCGTATCCGGGTTTCTTCGCGGACGTCGAGACAAGGTGCCAAGCGTGGCACTACTGCGACATAGACGGCCGTCAGGCGACGTTTCTCTGTCCAAACGGGACGCAGTTCAGCCAGGCGGTGTTTGTCTGCGACTGGTGGTTCAACGTCCGATGTGAACTCAGTCCCAAGTTGTACGCCATCAACAGCCGACTGTACGGCAGACCCACCGAGAGTCCGACCAGGCCGCATCGGCTCATCACCAAGGAACTCCTCGAGAATATCTTCGTCAGGCGGAAATGAACCACCTGAAAGAAACTGAAGCTGCGTTCTCGTTTTTATTGCCAGTGCGACTCCGTCGTCCATCGATCGTTCCATCGATTCGATCCGGCGAGGAAAAAATCAAGAGGCTCTGTTTCGTCGATGGGTGAACGTGTATGTCTCTCCTTGTCGAGAATCGTTCTTGACTTGATTGCAACTGAATGAGCAGGAGCGAATGGTAGAGAAGTGTCTTGTTGGTTGGTCGTAGTTTGAATTTCGCGCCGCGTGGAAGAATGTTCCAGAGGGATTTGGTCGAAGTTTCGACGATGAAGCGTTCCAACACTTCGTACGAACAAGGCATTTCTTACATCTGAACGAGGATTCTGAACGATTTCTTACGGGATGAACGACGACGAGTAAATGTTAACGTAGAATAATTAATACAGACGATTGGTCGAAGTATGGTTGAGAGACAGAATCTGTTCGAAGTGCCACGACGTTGGTTTTCTGTAGGATAAAAATCATTCTCGACGATGATCGAGGATCGACGAGAAACAAAAGGGGAACGATCGACGATTTAAGTGCCACGAACTTACGTCTGCTTTTTGATTTTCGTCCCTTTCATTCCTTTGGGACGAGAAAGCGCGCGAATGGTAGGTACGCGAATTATTAGGTGTGGTTATATTTGCTAATCGTACAAATAAAAAGAAAAAAGAAAAATTATGACGAATGTTATTATTAATATGACGAACGTGGTAGTATGCGATGTACATAATGTTCAGCGAATTTTCTACAGCGAATCCACTCGTTCGAAACCCGTAAAATTTTATTATCCAAATAAAGAAGTTATAGTTGGTTAGAATGTTAGGGTCTGAAGCATATTTGCTCATAATGTCTCCTGTACCTTTACTCTATTGAAACACCCATTGATTTATTTCGGTATTTACTACGATGAAACAGAACATGATTAAGAACGATACTAGACGTAACTCCGTCATGAGAAAAAAAAAGTACATACATTTTAAGTGAGGTTAGGCCACCTTGAATATGTGAAATTAATCATATTCCTTTGTATCTTCTTCTTACAAACGGATGAAATTAATGGAAAATTTAGAATAAGGCCTTCATTAAACGAATTTTGAGGAATCGTCTGTGCATTTTTCTTTCCTCTTCTTTCTTACTAGATCATTTTGATCTTTTAAATTTCCTTTCGCGCGTTGTAAAAAAAGGAGAATAATGTCGACCCTTTAGCTCTTGAATCTACGATTTTTAAGCTCAGAGTATTCACTGTTTAATAACCAAAACTCTTTCAAAACTCTTGCGTCTTTTTACAATTTGCTGATAATTGTACGAACGTGTACATTTCGTGTTGTATGACGCGATGTATAATGTAGTATGGTATCTAAACAGACGCCTAGAGCGAAAGCTATGATATAATATAAAGAGGAAATTCCTGAAATTTCTGGCTCAATTGACACTCAATAATTCACATAAACTAGACTTTTCGTTGCTTCTTATGAAAGTTTAAAAAAATAGCGGATATTACTTTTCCAGAGATTGAAACTATGTGTCATTATTGTTCCAGCAAATTCGCGATGCACTTTCAAATTTAAAACGACGTCACATGTTGGAAAGATACAATGAACAAAAATTTCGATACCATTTCCAATGCTGTATCATTCATGCTTCGTAAATAAATTGCTGACTATATAGATGATGCTAAAGAGGGTTCGAGGGCAAAGGGTTAATTTTTCCTACAAAAAAAAAAAAGAAAAATCAAAAGAAAAGAGAAACATAGATGTGAACAATCCGAAGAGAAACAAACTGTGGTCGAAATCGATACTCTCTGACGTCGAGATCAGTTGCGGTGTAGTAAATTCCGAGCCCGAGTCGTCGGTTTACTCGAGCAGAAGACAAAATAAAAATATGCCCCGCTTCTGGGTATAAACGACGAAAGTACGAAAAGAAATAAAGGAAGGAAGGAAGGAAGGAAAGAAGGGAAAGAGGTTCAACGAGCACCGCTGCGTCAGTAAAAGCGGAGAGTCTCGAAGAAGCACGCCCGTCCTCCGCGATCTTCATACACTTCGCCTAACTCGACGCGAACGAAGACGTGGCAGGACCGCGCGCGCTTCAACCCTCGCTGCGGTTCTTAATCGTTGATGAGATTCCATTCGGGACGAGGAATCGTCCCTCATCTTCCACGTCCGCGAAAATAAAGAGCGGCGCCGTAGTCGATTTTTACGGCGCGAGCAGCCGAGTTCACGATGTTTCAACGAATCATCTGAGGCTGGATCGATTCAAGGATCGACACTCTCTTCTGAGGTCTCTCTGTCGTAAACGGAGAGTCTCTGAACTCTTCGTCAGCGCGAGCGTTAACGTGTTTTCTAAGATTTCAGGAACGTGTAAAGTCTACGTTCACTATAAAATAATTTCAATGGAATTTTATAATGATCATTTTTTTTTTTTTTTAATAAATTGACGCGTTTGAAGATCACACGAGGATCAAATTAATTTTTAGAATCGCGCAGCTTCCGATATAATTGATCGTGAACCGATACGTTCACGATATCGTTCTTTGCAAAAACTACGCTGGCAACTGACTGCGGACCATAACGAGTGACCGAACCGTATATATAATAATTCGTCGCTTTTTCTTTTTCAAAGCTCGTCGGTACGATATTATCACGATGGAATTGAAATTATTCAGAAGTAATAAATTTATTATTTGTTTTGCCTATTTTGTTTCACTCAAATATACTTAAAACTGAGAAAATGTTACAACTTTGGAAAAATTCTCGACGCGCGTGGCCACGTCGTTCCATCGCAAAGAGGTTAATTACCATTCGTGTCGACGAGCGATCGACAATCTTCGAGTGTTAATTTCAATTTCAATATTACGGAAAGTATAATCGAGAGATACATCGTCTGACAGGACAAACTGAGAATGATCTTCGCGAAAGGGACGAAAGCCAATATTGGTTAATTAATTAACGTTATCGCCGGATCTCGAACTCGGAGGGGCAAACGCGAGGAGTAAAGTTGGTTGATCACCAACGACAGTAATGGCGTTGAATCTGTTAAATCCCACAAAGTACGTCACACTGTGTATATCGAAACAGTCTCCCCGAAGCACGGGGGGGGACTTGAATTCTCCGTTGTCGAATCCATCGTTGATTATTCGCTTAAACAACGAGCCACGTGCGCGCATCGATCAGCTTATGTCTTACAATCGCGCGGCGGCTATTGCGTAATTGCTTCGCGTTCGCCCGAAGGCCTGACGCTTCGCTTAGCAACGAACCAATTGACGATCGGTCATACGTGCAACAATTGCGATTACACGTGGAACGATCGCGATTATACGCGTCGATAATGGACCCGGGAAATTGTTGTGCCACGCGGCGAACAACACGGACGCGTCTCTCCGTCAACGTGAAAACGCTATTGAACGCCGAACAACGCTGGTTTTCCCACCGACACATGGTCAAAGAGGTTGGTATTCGTCGACCGTATGTTCTTTCAACCTTTTCCTGTTGATTTCGTACTGACTTTTCTTTTTTTTTTCTTCCTTTTCTTTTTAAGAAAATTGGATTTGGAATAAGAATTGTGTAACGAAGAAGACATTTGATCATCATTACGATCACCGATAGCTGATCGAGATATGAATTTGCGCAAACATCCGCGATATCAGGATTAAATAGGAATGAAACAATTTAATTGGAAATCATTGTACTTTCAAATGCCTGATGATCAGTAGTCAGATGTTGAGAAAATTCTAGAAAATTTCGAGTAACTCGTATGCTTCCATGGTTTGCGTGAATTTGCGCAAACATCCGCGATATCGAGATTAAGTAGGAATGAAACAATTTAATTGGAAATCATTGTACTTTCAAATGCCTGATGATCAGTAGTCAGATGTTGAGAAAATTCTAGAAAATTTCGAGTAACTCGTATGCTTCCACGGTTTGTACGAATTTGCACAAACACCTGCGATATCGAGATTAAGTAGGAATGAAACAATTTAATTGGAAATCATTGTACTTTCAAATGCCTGATGATCAGTAATCAGATGTTGAGAAAATTCTAGAAAATTTCGAGTAACTCGTATGCTTCACGGTTTGTACGAATTTGCACAAACACCCGCGATATCGAGATTAGTAACGAAATTAAATTAGAATGAAACAATTTAATTGGAAATCATTAAAGTTTCAAATGCCTGATGATAGTAATCAGATGTTGAGAAAATTTCGGGTATATCGTATGCTTCCACGGTTTGTACAAATTTGCACAAACACCCGCGATATTGAAATTAATATTAAAATTAAGTTAGAATGAAAAAGTTTGATCCAAAATTATTGTAGTTTCAAATACCTGATATTAATCAGATGTTGAAAAAATTGTAGAAAATGTTGACTAATTTGTACCCTTCCACGGTTTGTATGAATTTGCACAAACATTCACCGTCTGGAGTAATCAGCAACGAAGTGAAACGAAATGGAGAATTCCAAGATTAAACAGCTTAACTCGAAATATCTAACGACGCCAATTACCAAATCAAGAAAATCCTCCAGCCGCTTAAAAAAAAAAAAAAAAATGGAACAATCAATTAAATCGACTTGCAAGTAGTCGATCCTTCCTCGGTTAACTAACCGAGCTGAAAAAGAAGGAAAAAGAGATACGCCGTTACGAGACAAAAAAGAAAGTCAATTTTCATTGTTCGTCGAGGCAATCTTCGATCGTGTTCCATCGTCAATGCACTCAAATTACAACAGGCCAGAGACAGACGGTGGAAACGGACGGGCAGAAAAGAAAGAAAGAAAAAGCGAAGCAGCGTTGTTCACGCGGCGGTATGGCCAAAAGTCAACGCTTTCAAGAATCGATATCCGCTAATAGAATTGTGCACGCACCGCGAACCGAACGAAATACGACAACGGCAGGTTTGCTGGCAATTAGTAATGACGTGTCGTTCGATATATTGTGTATACGGACCTGTCGCTTGAAAACGATCGTCGCCCAATCAAATTCTCGTTCCATCTTCCGTCGTTCGTTCTTGCACATCTGGCTTAAATGCAACACTTTTTTTTTTAATGTTAAGAATTACAGAATTAAATAAATTTATACATTACACCCACTATGGCGCTGATGTTTATGCAGTGTCACGCGTAATTAAGGAAATCTAATTCTAATAAAAATTTATTTCATCCATTGAGTATTTTTTTTTTTTCTTGATCGTAAATATATTTTTACATACTAAACGAAATTCATATTATTAGAATTTCGTACGTCAGATTCTCCGTTAATTTTTCGAATTTTTCTGCTAAAAAGCTTTCGTGGGTAGAAATTATACCACCAAAAAATTAAAAAACCGTAGCAATTCGAATGCCAGGATATTGCCTTGTTCCTGCGTTTCACGATCGATCGCTATTTTTCTAAAAGAATGCAATGTTTTCTAAAAGGAAAAAAATAAAAAGGAAAATCGATTCCTGCAAACAATTCTGTCGGCTGGCTACCACGCAACGAAAGCACGGAGTTTTAATATAATGGAACGATAGACCTTACGCGAAATTAAAGTGAATTAGTTTCAAAAGTTCCCGATGGAATGTATCTTTAATGAACGAGAGAGAGAGACGGAGAGAGAAAATAGACGGAGGAGAGAGGGACGAACGCCCTTTAGTAGCCATTCGCTAATGAGGAACAGTTAACGAAGAAAATTGCTGAATAATTAAAAGTTGCTTTTGTTGAAAATTGCGCGATTTACCCGGTTGGCACGCGCCATCCTGCAAAAAATAACGAACGTCCATTAAACTCTGTCCGTGAAATCTGTCTTCCTCTGAACCGGTTAGAACTTTTACCTCGTCGATAGTCTTTCGATACACTGGCGGAAGAAAAAAAAATCGAGACATTAAAAAAAAAAAAAAAAAAAAAAAAAAAAAAAAAACAAAAAAACAAAAAACGAAGAAGAAGAAGAAGAAGAAGGAAAAGAAAAAAAGAAAATAACGTGAGGCTGATGAAAGAGGATGGGAAGAGAGAAGGGTGAACAAAGGAACGAACAAACGAAGTTCGAGCCCCTTAATTCAAAGGATGAACTAACTGTTATACACTCGCTGGCTGCGAAGAATTGATAATGAAAATTTCTACTACTGCCGGAGAATCGCAACGGTATAACGCTGCTCTTCGTTCTTCGGGATCGTTTTTTTTTTCTTTTTTTTTTTCAACCTGGATGATTTCAGCAACGCGCGAATATTTCGCTAGAACGTTGTTTCGAGAGGCACCTGTCCGTGGTTGTGAAGTCTCGTTGAAAAAGCAACGAAGAAATTACGTAAGTGCTTTTCAGCTTCCGAATGAAACAGAGAGAGAGAGAGCCGACGTTTCTGACGTGAAATTGACGGACGATAAACGTGCATCGAATTTTAAAAAGTAGGTAATTATTGGTTGGAGATTGCGTAAGTAATTTAGCTTCTGAGTCAAATGGGAAGCCGATATTTCAATCGCCAGACTTGATCGATAGAGCTTTGAATTTTTAAAAAAGTATGTAATTTGACCAACGTACGAGTAACTGATTGGAATGAAATTATTTGCAAAGTAAAAATTGAAAGATTTCCTCCCGTACATTGAATACGTGAATAATTGTTTTCGTACCTTCCTCCAATAATCAAAAATCATGTGCCAAAGAGAGAGAAGTAACCAAAGAATGCATCGTTTATCGCAAATAATCGAAAATTTTTCCCCACTACATATGCAGAACATTAGTATACATTAGTCGACCGTGTTCCAGTCTAATCTCGTCTGATATTCAACCTTGTATCTCGTTGTTGTCCACAACTGTAGAACAAAAGCAGAATTCGCGAACGGAAGACGTACGCCTTCAGCGCGCAGTTAAAATGACGTAAAACGGTCGTGAGACGCGCGAATTATTCGAGCAGCCAGCAGCTTCCGGCTCATTTGACAATCTGGATAGCCGAATATTCGGAGAGGCAGAACGCGCTGTGCTGTGAAATCGCGCGCGGTTAGTATCTCTCTCTCTCCCCTCCTTCTCTTTCTCCCCCTCCACCCAGGTTTTTAACAATTTTCCTATTACTTCGACGTCGTTTCATCAATCGACCGCTTTTTGCTGCTAATTAAATACATGGATGCGCCGGACGCGTTGAAATTATGTTGATTCGAGTCGCGAAAATTCGAGCCGACCAGACACGCCGGATATATTATTTACCATCGGCATAAATATCCCGCGGATTTTCGTCCCGCGGTGTCAAACGCAACCGGGGCTGAAATAAAATTGGCTCTTTGTAGTCACATTTTCAGGAGGATTCAACGAAGACGACGTTTCGCTGGATTATACATATACTCTTTGCTGTTACGTTCTGTTTTGCTATTTTCGTTTTTTTCGTTTTTTCTTCTTTTATTCTTTCCACGATTGGTTGGTTAAGTTGTCGTTGTAAATTTTTCATCGAATCGCGATCGATTTCTTTTGTTTCGTTAATGCCAGAACTGTCGGTGTGGTGGAAACCAGATGTACGAATACTTCAAATTACATATCTCTGAAAGTCTCAAGAAACTCTTTTCATTCTGATCCGAGAGGCAAGGTTCCAAGCAGTCGTGCAACGTGCAGTCGCAGGTGCGTGAAGAGACTAACCGATCTGACGGAATTATTACGCGCAATACAAATACCACAGTAGGGAATCGTTTAACCAAAATGGCCGTAAAATCGGGACAGAGGCAGACCGTGGAACGACCGATTGTCGCGGGTCGGCGAAACGATCCGGCGCAAGAGGGCAGAGGCTCGACCTAAGAATCCATCAACGAAACTGGTAATCTGGTGCGGCTCGCGCGAGCCACTTTCAAGAATCCAATCTCGCCTGGCATTTTTACTATCGACCAACCTCGCGTTCATATTCGTTTCGTTTCCGGCTGCGCACGCGAGAGTCTTCTTTCTTTTTTCTACGCAAGAATCGCTGGGAGGACGAATGGATAATCAAGCTTGGAAGATCGTGCCTCGATTGAGTGATGCGTGTCTAAAATTTATTATATAGAAATAAACTTAAGATCATAAGAAACAAATTTGAGAAGTTATACATTTATTATAGAAATGAATTTAATTATAGAATTCACAGACATCTCCAGAGTCATTATTTGAATCATTTTATCACTTAAATGTTTCAATCGTGCATTTAGATCGATCAAGTTCGTGCTCAATTTATTACATTCGACACTCGTCTCGAGCATAAATACAAAACACGAGTTTGCAGCGGACGTGCATCATCATATTGTGGCTCAAATAATGAATCTGAAGATTCAATATGGCGTCGTTTTTTAACCTCACTTTTCCCTTTATGTTTGTATTTCCTTGGATCTCCTTTTTTAAAATAAAGCAAAGAAAAACATCAAGTATACGAAAGTCAGGAAAAATTATATTGAACTGAAACTAAATAGAAATATTAACTACTTATATCGGGCTAAACAGTATTAAAACTGAATGTTTGAAAACTATCCATTGAAATACAATATGGATCCTTATGGATTGCACTTTTTTTTGATTACTTTTTAATTTCTGTTCTTCTCCTGTTACACCGAAGTATCAATCACCGATTTTGTAAATAAATGTAGCTTTCGAGAAAAAATATCTGACACGTGTCTTTTTTTGATTGGCAGCCGTCGAAGTTAAAGGGGTGAAAATTACCCTCAAAAGTCCGGGACATATTTTGTCAAATATCTCAGAAATTACTCGCAAGATACAGTTTTCGCGTAAATTGATGAAATTAGTTTGAACGACATTTTGCGAAAAAGCCACTTGTTTAAACGATATACGTAAGAACCCGTATTTTTTTTTATGTCTTTCCAAAAGTAAATGCCTTTCACATTCTCTCGAATATCTGTTTACGAAAACAACACATTCAAACACGAATTATGGACAAATCGAAACGTTCAAACGAAAATTCATCATTTTCAAATCTTTCTCGCCGGACGTGCGAAGCTATAATTGATTCAACTAGATCTACGGATCTATACTTGTTCCGAGACAAGTTGATCGAACTCCAGCTAAAAACCTACGATACGCGAAAGGTATCGAGTCTGACCACTCTTCGCCCCTATTCAATTCAGACCCATTCCTTCGCCGGAAAAAGCAATGCAGAAAGCGGCAGTGCTGCAGAAACTGTCTCTCTCCCTCGTTCCCATTCCTAACCGTCCCGTTGCACGAACCTAACCTCATCAAACCAAGACAATCAACCGCCGCATTTCCTCGCTCGTCTGGAGAGACGCGGGATTGAAGACACGAACGAAAGAATGAAACGCTAAAGAGAGGCAAAACCAACCTAGTCTCTCCAGGGTTGGACACACACAAACACACACACACACACACACACACAGGAGAGAGCTTCCCTCCGTGCGGTGTTTTTCTCTCAACGGGGTGGGGAAAGAGCGTAAAGTTTGAAATTGTGGAGTACTGGGGGGGACGAGAGTGTCAAAAAAAATAAAAATAAAAATAAAAAAAAGAAAAACACGTGGGATCGAGGGATCGAGCGGGACGGAAAGATTCTGCAGGATGCAGCGGGCGCACCTTTAATTGCAGAACCCGCGACACTTTTAAAGCCGGATGCAAATGGCCCATAAAACTCGCCCGGCTCCGGCGAGGCCGGCTCATTTACGAGCGCTGAAAGTTTTTAGGTCCGGCGGAGGGTTGAACGAGAGGGCCTGTTTTATCGGTCTGCGAGAGTTCGAAAGTAATTCTCTTTAGTTGGCGGCGAGACCGACAGGCTGCGATGCAGGCCCCTTAACTTTCTACGCGTTCTTAGCTCTGTCTTGGCTCTGTTACCGATCGTACAGCTCGATCGAGAGAGATCGGCTTCCATTCCCTGATAGAAACGTGCAGGAAGCAAGAAACGGGCGTCGATGATCGGAATGGTGTTTCTTGGTAATCTATTTCGAGAGCCACGACGCTTTTTCTAATTCGTCGGGAATTTTATCAGTATTTCAAGTATCTTGAAATTTCGTGAAACTGTGGACTCCATGTAAATAATAACGATGCAATGGCAAGAGTGTATTAAGTCCTTGAAATTTATAGAATAGAGTAGAAACGTGCAGGAGGCAAGAAACGGGCGTCGATGATCGGAATGGTGTTTCTTGGTAATCTATTTCGAGAGCCACGACGCTTTTTCTAATTCGTCGGGAATTTTATCAGTATTTCAAGTATCTTGAAATTTCGTGAAA